CCTCTGTTTTCATCTTTTAGAATATTTTTCTTTTTAAGACTAAAAAATGGGCCAGGCGTGTTGGCTCATGCCTGTAATCCCAGTACTTTGGGAGGCCGAGGAGGATGGATCATGAGGTCAGGAGTTTGAGACCATCTTGGCCAATGTGGTGAAATCTGTCTCTACTAAAAATACAAAAAATTAGCTGGGCGTGGTGGCGCAGTCCCAGCTGCTGGGGAGGTTCAGGCAGGAGCATCGCTTGAACCCAGGAGGCAGAGGTTGCAGTGAGCCAACATTGTGCCACTGCACTCCAGTCTGGGCAACAGAGCAAGACTCCATCTCAAAAAAAAATTTTTTTTAATGGTTTTTTTTTCTCATGAGTACCTCATGGTTTATATTTCATCTTTTCATTTTTATTTGTTTATTTAGAGATGGAGTCTTGCTCAATCTCCTAAGTAGCTGGGTTCGATTACAGGTGCCCAAGACCATGCCCGGCTAATTTTTGTGAAGATGGGGTTTTGGCATGTTGGCCAGGCTGGTCTTACTCCTGACCTCCGGTGATCCGCCTGCCTCGGCCTCCCAAAGTGCTGGGATTACAGGCGTGAGCCACTGTACTTGGCCTATTTTTATTTTTCGAGGCAGAGTGAGCCCAGGCTGGAGTACAGTGACATGATCTCGGCTCACTGCCATCTCCATCTCCCGGGTTCAAGCGATTCTCCTGCCTCCACCTCCCGAATAGCTGGGATTACAGGTGTCCACCAACACACCCGTCTAATTTTTGTATTTTTAGTAGAGACGGAGTTTTACCATGTTTGTCAGGCTGATCTCAAACTCCTGACCTCAAGTGATCCTCCTGGCTTGGCTTCCCAAAGTGCTGGGATTATAGGTATGAGCCACTGCACCCAGCCTGTTTTCATTTTTTTAAATTCCCTTTTTTTTTTTTTTTTTTGAGACAGGGTCTCTATGTTGCCTTGGCTGGAGTGTAGTGGTGTGATCTCTGCTTACTGCAACCTCTGCCTTCTGGGCTCAAGTGATTCTTGTGTCTCGGCCTTCCAAATAGCTGGGATTACAAGTGTCTGCCACCACGCCCAGCTAGTTTTTGTATTTTTAGTAGAGATGGGGTTTTGCCGTGTTGGCCAGGCTGGTGTCGAACTCCTGGTCTCATGCGATCCACCCACCTTGGCTTCCCAAAGTGCTGGGATTACAGGTGTGAGCCACCGTACCCAGCCTAAAATTATCGGCTGGGTACGGTGGCTCACACCTGTAATCCCAGCACTTTGGAGGCCAAGCCAGGAGGATAACTTGAGCCTAGGGGTTGGAGACCAGCCTGGGCAGCATAAGGAGACCCCATCTCTACAAAGAAAATTTAAAATTAGCAGGGTGTGGTGATGTGTGCCTGTAGCCCCAGTTACTTGGGAGGAGCCTAGGAGATCAAGGCTGCAGTGAGCTGAGGCTGCACTGCAGTACTGCAGCCTGGGCAGCAGAGTGAGACCCTGTCTCCAAACAGAAACATCCCTGCTTTGGGCCTTCCTCGATGGCCTCTCCCCAGCCACATGGCAGCTTGCTGGTGTGCAGGCCCCGGCCGTGGGCATGGCTGCGGATGTTGTACGCGGCCTGGGTAAGGTGCTGTCTCCACTGGGTGGGATGTGAGGACCGGGGCCTCTACTAGGTGCGGGGGTGTATGTGCTAAGGCTGCGCCCCATGCTTCGATGTGAGATTTGGGCATGGACTTTGGCATGTCTGGGGCTGTCCCGCCTGCATCCAGCTTGAGCAGCTGTCCACGCCAGTCGCAGGGGTGTCCCCACAGAGCCCCAGCCCTCGCCCTGGCACAGTGTCTCCTGCTGTGTGGAACCCGGGCCTTTGATGGCGTCCACGCGTCCACGTGCTCTGCCGCCTGCCTCCGAGGGTGGCCAAGGCGCTGAGTAGCTCGGGAGGCTTGGCCGTGTCTGGTGCAGTGATTCATTGAAGCTCAGAGGCTCCAGGGAAATGCTCCACACTCCCTTTCACCGGAGCCCTGGCGGGGCAGGCCAGGCCGAGACAGGAGGGAGGGAGGGAGGCCGGGAGGGAAAAACACAAACCCTCAGAGACGCTGGAAACTCTGAGGTCGGGGCCACCTCCAAATGGGCTCACATTTTCCCTCTGTGTGTCATCACATCCTGGAAAATTACTGTCAAGAAAAGGAGCCCTCTGGGCAGTGTTGTGGCCCGAATGCCCCGGGCGCCCGCACCCCGCAGGCCCCAGCCCCCAGCCCCCTTCCCCTCCCTTTGGCTGTGTGCCTACAGAGTTACCCTGGACTCCCGACAGCAGCCCTGTCCTCCGTCCTGCTGTGGGCTTTCTGGGCTTCCTCCAGCCCCCTGCCGGGTCAGGGCCTCTGGACAAATGGTCCACATCCTTGCATCCATGCGGTCCTCCTGGAGGCCATGACCTGGGGGTTTGCCAGGCCTGGGTTTGCAGGAGATGACAGGAAGAGGCTTCACCTGTAGGAGACAGGTCTTTTGCAGCTGCCCGGCCACCCTCAGAGCCTGAAATGCCAGCACCCCTTCCCCTCACCGTGCTGGCCGGACCCTCAATGCTCCGTGCCTCAGTTTCCTTAGCAGCCATAGTCACTGCCACCCTGTGGCATATTTTTAGCCTCCAGGGAGCTCAGCACACACAGCCCTGTGAGAGCCCCCACACTGGCACTGCCCCCCACGCCAACCCCCATCCTCTGGCACCTCTGGCTCTGCCTAGCAAGAGGGTCAGGGTCAGGAAGACGGAGGAGTGGGGCCTTCAGCAGCTGGGCCCAGATGGCGAGGCAGAAACCAGGCTCCCCCTTCCCGGCCCCTCTTCTGTGTGGGATGGAAGGACTCTCTCGGGGAAGGCTTGCAGCTGTGTTGATGGGTGTTTGAAGACACTGTAGGAGGGCTGGACAGGACGGGGAGGGTGTTCCCAGGGTTGCCACGCCATCCCCAGGTGTCCAGAGTGTGGGGTACGTTCCCCTTCCAAGTCGGGGAGCCCAGAGCCCACCCCAGGCTGCCCCCCACTCGAGACGGCTCTTGGCTATTCCGTGAGGGAGGATGGGGCATGTGTGGACCTCCACACACAGGGTCTCCTGGCATCTCCCTCTGCCATTTGGCTGCCAAGTGACATTTCCCAGCAGCTCTGCTACAGACGCCGTCTGTTTTCAGGGGAGACGCCGGTGGCATGGCCTCTCTGGCAGCCCCTTATCCTGCCGGACCCCCGGCTCCAGCAAGATGGCCCTGGATCAGGGCTTCTCTGCCTGGGCAAAGAGTGGGCATGCGAGGTTTCTGCCATCCTGGCCCTGTGCGGGACCCTGGGCTCTGACAGAAAAGGCTTCCTGAGCAGGGCCGGGCCCTTGGCATGATGGGTAGGAATCTAGGGTGGATCCACAGGAATTAGAGATTTTGTCAGTTTTGTTTTCCGGATGAAATTCTATAGCCCCAATGGTGGCATGAAGCTGATGGCCCTGTCCCCTCTGGCCCACATCCTGGAGGCACCAGTGTGGGCTGTGGGCCGGAGGGTCCTTAGCACTGTACAGTGTGCGGACGTGCCAGCAGCCCGCCGGTGACCCCCAGGCTGTGCCCTGGACATGGCTGGCTGAACATGTCGTGTCCTGGAGGCGGGGCCCCGTCTGGTCAGGCTCAGGCGCAGTGCGATGCCATCAAGGGTGCTCTGCCCGCTCGGGGAGATGCAGTGTGGATTCCGGGGTAGGGGGGCTCCTCCAGGGAGGCTCTGGACCAGGCCGCAGAGGGTGCCAACCTGCCACAGGCTGGCCTGGCCGCTCATGGACATGGCGGCTCTTGGCCCAGGGTGCACCACGTCCCGCCCTCCTATCCCGTGGGAGCCCGGCATGCTCCCGGCCTCTGGAATGCAGGCGCTGGGGCTGTGGGGGGCAGCCTGGCGCCTGGCATCTTGTTATAAAAAGCCCTGGCGCAGGCTGCTCTCAGCGGCTGCAGAATGGTTGTGGCTTTGGAAGGGCAGCCTCCAGGGGCCTTGGTCAGCCACCTGTGGGCCCCACTGCCGAGCTGTGGTCAGCCTGTGCTGTCTTGCCATGACGCTGCCGGGGCCAGTGGGGCTCCCACCAGACCCTGTGACATGTCGTGACAGAGCCCCGTGCTGGGTGGCTGCAGGGCTGTCGCCATGGGCAGACAAGGCCTTAGGTGTATCCAGGGGCAGTCATGCCCTGGCTGTCTCCCAGTGTGGGCATGTTGGGGGCGCCAGAATGCCATGCAGCGTAGGAGGCAGTGGCCCGTGGCCACATGGGAGACTGCAGGAGGGCTGGACGGGATGGGGAGGGTGTTCCCAGGGCTGCCGTGCCATCCCCAGGTATCCAGAGTGCGGGGAGGTAGGTTCCCCTTCCAAGTCAGGTGGGAGCCCAGAGCCTGCCCTAGGCCACCCCCACTGGAGACGGCTCTTGCTGTTCTGTGAGGGAGGACAGGGCCCCCTGCGGACGTGTCCCACCTGCACCAGCACTGGACTGAATGCGCTGAAATCGCTGCCCAGGCCTCTAGCTGCGTGGCCCAGCTTTGTCCATTTCACGGCTGTTGATTAGGGGTGATGCCGTCCCTCCCGCATCCCAGTGTGGGCAGAGGGAGGGCCCAGCTTGTTCCCTGAGGGCAGGCGTGGATGGTGTCAGCCTGGCCATGGAGCTGTGGCCAAGAGGGCAGCGGGGCAGCTGGCCTGGGGTTTTTGCCGACGCTCTAATTTGGCGGCTGTCGCCACCCCTCCCCCACATGGAGACCCTGACGTGGCCTGAGCCAGACTCCAGGGGCCATGTGCTCTTCAGGGCTCAGCATCAGGGCTGCCGCACTGGCTTGGGGGGGCCTCCAGCCCTGAACAGGCCCTGAGTGGGGTGGGGGCCCCAGCTGCTGTGCCTGGCCCTGGCCCTGTGCTGGCCGGGGCCAGGGAGGGAGTGGGCCTAGCTCCCAGGTCTGTGCGACCGCCTCGGCCAGGGGCACCAACAGCCCAGGGCGTGGAGGCCCTGCCGGTGACCCGCTGTCAGCCTCTCCCTCTGTGTCCAGCCCGTGGACCGGGTGCCGGTGGTGTGCCACCCCGACCTGGAGGAGCGGCTGCAGGCCTGGCCATTGGAGCTGCCCGATGAGTTCTTCGAGCTGACGGTGGACGACGTGAGAAGACGCTTCGCCCAGCTCAAGAGTGAGCGGTGGGTCCCCCTCGGCGCCTCCTGGCTTCTTCGCCCCAGGGTTTGCCCTGTTGGGGGCCCATGCTGCCCACTGTCCTCAGGCACCAGGTCCCTGAAAGGCTGCCCTTAACGGCACCTCAGAGGGTTGGGGCGCAGCGGGGGCGTCCACTCTTGCTGTCTCGTGTGTGGAGAGCAGCCTTCTCCTCCCCTGGCAGGTGCAGGTGTCAAGCCCAGGCCTGTTGCCGGTGCCCCCGTGCTGACTGGGAGCCCTGTTCCTTCCCTGTCCTTCCCACAGGAAGCGCCTGGAAGAAGCACCCTTGATGACCAAGGCCTTCAGGGAGGCGCAGATGAAGGAGAAGCTGGAGCGCTACCCAAAGGTCTGCAGACAGGGCTTGGGGGTACAACTGAGGCACAGTTTTGAGGGGTCTCCTGCGGCTCCCACATGGGACCAGGGCCCTCAGTGGTGGCACATGTGCTCCTGGTAGCCAGTCGATCCTCCCTTGCTTACGATTTAGAATAAAACTTTTTTATTTTATTTATTTTGAGATGCAGTCTCACTCTGTTACTCAGGCTGGAGCGCAGTGGTGAGATCTTGGCTCCTGCAACCTCTGCCTCCCAGGTTTAAGTAATTCTGCTGTCTCAGCCTCTCAAGTAGCTGGGACTACAGGTGCCCACACGTGGCTAATTTTTGTATTTTTAGTAGAGATGGGGTTTCACTGTGTTGGTCAGGCTGGTCTCGAACTCCTGACCTCGGGTGATCTCCCCATCTCGGCCTCCCAAAGTGCTGGGATTACAGGCATGAGCCACTGTGCCTGGCCAAATGAAACTTTAAACAGCAAATCTGAACACAGGTCAATGTGGTTTTAGGATTCGGGCTGATGTACGCACACGTGGCATTCCGCTGTCTCTGTGCCCGGCCTGCCAAGGGGGAGTCGAGGCTCAGGCCCAGATTTGGGGGGACTGCTGCCGCTACCGCCTGCCCCAGCCCTGGTGTCCATGGCCCGGTGTGGGCCAAGTGGGGAGGCCACGCCCTGGTCCCTGGCTTGGCTCTGGCCGTCCCTGTGACCCCTCCACTTGTCTGGCCTAGGTGGCTCTGAGAGTCCTGTTCCCTGACCGCTACATCCTGCAGGGCTTCTTCCGCCCCAGCGAGACAGGTGGGCAGCACTTTGGGGTGTCCGGGAATGGGGTCAGGGGCCACTGGGGCCCCTGCTGGCTCCTTCCTTCCAGGCCACACGCAGGACTGCTGCCGCCTGGCCTGCAGGCTCTAGGGCACCGGGGTGGGGGGTGCAGGTTGCTGGGGTCCCCTTGGGGCTGCGGAGTGTCAGGCAGGCCCAGGTGCCCAGCCCCACCTCAGGGAGCCCATGGTCCTGAGTACTCATGTCGATCACCTACTAGACATGGGTGGGGCTGAGGGGCATCCAGAGGAAGGTACCATACCCCGGGAGGAGGGCAGAGGCGCTGTGACATTCAGAGGTTCATCACCGACTTGTACCCCAGACAGCTGGGTGGCAGCAGCCCAGGGTCACTGGCCTCCCCCAGGGAAGCACTCAGGCTGGGGTGGTGGCTGGGGTGGGGCGGGCGGCACAGGCTGGCAGTGGGAGTGCCTTCCTGCAGCAGGGCAGGGTCCCAGGTGTGTCCCGCACAGGAGTGCGGCCCCGCCAAGCACCTGGGGTGCCGTATGGGGCTGAATTCCCACCCTAGGGGAAAGGCCCAGGAGGGTGAAAGCAGTGGCCCAGGTGCCGGGGCAGCCTGGGGCTGGCGTCGTGGGAGAGCTCTGTGTTTCTTTCTCCGCTGCAGTGGGGGACTTGCGAGACTTTGTGAAGAGCCACCTGGGGCACCCCGAGCTGCCGTTTTACCTGTGTAAGTTTATTCTCCTGAGCCCACTCCTGGCATCTGTGGCCTTGTGCCCAGCTGCCTCCTGCCACCCATGGTGTCTGTGTGGGGACCTGGGAGGGGTGCAGCAGGGCCCCTCTCCCTGAGCCGGGCATTGGGAGCCAAGCTTCCCACGTCCTGTCCCGGTGCCCACTGCCCTCTGGAGCCCTGTAATACCCCAGCCTGGTCCCCACCCCTGGGGTTCAGGCTACTCCTGCCCGAGAGCTGTGGGAAGGATGGGTGGATGGGGAGTGGCTGGCCTCCCTTGGAGGGTCTCTGGGTGTAAAGAGTTAGGCTGTCCGCCCCGAGGGGAGCTGGGCTGCAGAGCTGTGTGGGTGGTGTCCCCGGCAGGTGGGCCTGCACTGCCCAGCCCCTCCGAGCCCCCCCGCTGGGGTTTCTGCAGCAGGAGTAGTGGGGGCAAAGGGCATGAGCCTGAGGAGGAGGCACCACCCCATCTTCAGGCCTGTGGGCCGGGACTCAATCCTAATACACAGGCACCTTCTGTCCTCAGTCATCGCTCCTCCAAAAACAGTCCTGGACGACTACTCGTGCACCCTCTTTCAGGTACCTGAAGGCCGTCCTGGAGTGCTGTGGGGTGGGGCCTCCGGGGAGGGCAGGATGGGAGGGGGAGGCCTGCGGGTGCTGTGGGGCAGGGCCTCCCCGGGAGGGCAGGACAGGAGGATGAGGCCCCGCGGTCAGGAAGGAGGGCAGGCGCTGCCCAGGGATAATAAGCCTTTGAGAGCCGGAGCCGGTGCTCACCTCTGAGGTTGTTTGTGACCAGCTTCTCGGCTCCTCTAGTTGCCGCCTGGCCCCGGCCTGCCCAAACTGAGGCTGCTTGGAGGTCTCAGCCCCCTGGGGTGATCGTGCTGGGGCCAAGGCAGGCCCAGCTCCTGCCTGGAGGCCTGGGTGAGGAAGGGCCTGGCAGGCCTGGGAGCAGGGCTGGGGAGCCCTAGGAGGGATCCAGCCCTCAGCAGGAGGTGGTCGCCTAGGGCTTCAGCAGCCAGGCCCATTTTCCTGCTCCTTCCCCTGCCTGGCCTCTCCGCTGGCCCCACTGGCCCCTGCTAGGAATGCCCTGGTGCCCATTGCTCACCGCTGCTTCTGCAGGTCCCTGCCGCCTCCCTGAGAACTCCTGAGGGTGAGGCCAGGGTGCGGGGCCAGGTGCCCAGCCCTGCTGAGCCACCCTCCAGAGCCAGGAGCAATGAATGTTTTGTCCTTGGCCTGGTGGGGGGAGCTGCCTGGGGCCTCCCGAAGCCCTCTGGCTTAAAGGTTTCCTCTTCAAAGTCTCTTCAGATATTTTAATTAGCAGCAGAGGAGGGTTCTTTTTAAGTGGCCGCAGGCCTCGGCAGAGGCCTGGGGTGGAGGTGAGAGACTTGCTCACTGCCTGCGGTTGCAGCCACTGGGCTGAGATGGGGCAAGAAGGCTGGCAGCTGCCAGGGGTGATCAGAAGCAGGCCTGAGCGGCATTCCCTGCAGCAGAGGCAGGCGCAGGGAGTGGTGACAGTCCTCTCTCAGCCCGAGCTGCTGGCTGGACTTTGGGCCTCTTTTCTCTGCCCCCACCCCTCCCTTGCTGGCCAGCCAGTTGATAAACATTGAATTTAGAAGATTCCTTGGGATCGAGGGGAACCAGTGCCCAGGCCTACAGCCCACCCTCCCATTGGGAGGCCCCGAGGGGCCCTGGGGTCCTGCTGCCCTGTTTCCGGAGACACCCTCACCCCCACCCCCGCCACCAGCCGCCGCCTCCTGCCATCCGTCAGCTCAGCTCCGGCCTCGGGGCCTCTCGGGGTGGTGTCCCTGGTGACGTCCCTGCCTGCCCGCCATCAGAGAGCTGGCAGGACTGAGGGAAGGAAGCTGCCTCCCTGGCGGGCAAGCAGGCGGCGGGCGTGGAAGCGCCAGCTTTCATGTCTCTAGCAGGGCCCTGCTCCGGCTGCCAGCTCCCTGGGGAGTGTCCAGGAGCTGGCCCCTGCTTCCAAGAGAGATGGCGTGCATGGGTGTGGGGCTGACAGCTCGGCAGCCCTTGGTGGCCCTGGCCCAGGAGAGCTGAGAGGAGGCAGCCAGGAGTGAGGACGAGGAGTTGTGAGCAGTGTGGGGTGCTGCTTTGTGGGACAAAGTCCCCCAATCCCTGCCTGAAACTTGCTTCCTGTCCCTGTGCGTCAGGGTGCCCTCAGCCCTGGGGTCCATGCTCTGCCCTTCACCCTGGAGCTCCTTAACAAGCCCTGAAGGCACTGGTGCGCTCCAGGGACCCCCTCAGCACAGGCTTTGTCTGCTGGCCCTGTGGGGACGGAATTGGAGGCCTGGCCAGGAGAAGGCCAAGGCACCTGGCTCCAGCCCCGGTACACACAGCCTGCTTCTTCCACAGCCGGGGTCGGGGGGAGGGGTGCAGGCCTGTGGGCGCCCAGCCCCTGATGTCCCGGCGAGGTCTTCCCTTTGCCCATGGTGTGATTTGAGTGTCAGCGCCACCCGTGTCTGTCTTGCCACACTGCTGCCTGCCGCCCTTCTGAGGGCTCAGTTGTCCCCAAGGCCAGGGCAGGGCATCTAGAAGTACCTGGCCAGGTGTCTTCCCATCCCTTTGCTGTGCTTGTCTAGGCTGGGCCAGAACTGAGCAGAGGGTAGAGATTCCTTCCCCGTGTCCATGGTGGTCTGTCCCTCTGTCCCTCATTCCGTTGGGATCCCAGAGACACAGCCAGCAGGCAGGGGACTTCTCGTGGGCAGCCAGAGGGGCAGGGAGGCCTGGTTCCAGAGGATCTCCCCCAGGGGTCCTTCCCCAAGGCCTCAGCCCTGCAGCCCCAGCCTGGGCCCTGGCACGTGCTCTGTCCCCTTGTCCAGAGCAAAACAAGAGACGAGGGGTGGGGGCCCACAGACAGGCACCTGCCCTGGGGACTGAGCCCTGGCCACAGCCCTCCCTGTGTACGTCCACCTGGCCTGGATCAGGTGAGACTCGGCTCCAGTGCCGGCGCCGGCCATGATGGGCTGAGTGTACTGGGCGGCGAGTTCCCTGGTCAGGGCCTCCTTCCAGGCGTGGCCATCCCCCTCCCGAGGGGGTCTGGTGGTGGCCACCCTGTGTCTGGAGCGGGGGAGGCAGCTCTGGGTTGCAGGAAGCCCCGGGGCCAGCCCTCCTTTCTGGTCCTGGGGGTGGAGTGGCTGGACCTTTCTCTTGGAGGTGGGAGTGGGGAGGGGAGCCACAGAGGGCCTGTGGGTGTGAGAGGAGATTCTCGGGCTTCCTTCCCTGTCCCACCTGTGGTCCCCATTCCACTGCCCTCACCCCACTGGGACCCTCCTGGGGGCTGGATGTACTGGGGAACCCTGAGTCCACTGGGGTAGCTGTGACAAAGGCCCACCATCCCGGAGGCCTGGGGTCCAAGCTCACGGGATGGCTGGGCTGGCCCCTCTCAGGCTTCTGTCGTGGCTGGCAGGAGTTATGTCTGTGTGCGTTCTGCGTCCTCATCTCATGAGAATTCACACTGGAACAAACCCGCCTTTGATGTCATCTCACCTTACTTATCTTGAAAGACCTGCTGGGCTTCCTTCCGTTGGCTTTGGGGGCAGACCTGGCTCCTAACACCCTCCATTTGTTGGAGCTCTCAGGCTGTCTCAGGGGACCAGGACATAGGGATCCCTTGCTGCCTGGTTCCCCACTCCCCAAGCCACCTGCCTGGCAGGGCGTGCCTGGCACTTCCAGCCTGAGTGCCTGCTGGGCACCTACCCCTAGCCAGTCCTGCCCTCCTCCCTCTCCTCCCAGAGCAGCTCCCCCCCTGCACTGCTGTGCTGCCCACCGCTGGGGCCTCTCTGCGGCCGACAGGCTACCGCCTTTCCCCTGACCAGGCCCTACCCCACCTGGGCCTCTGAAATGTTCCTCATCACCTCATGGTCTTGCAGAAGCAGGATGGCTGTGGTCCCCCGCCTTCTCTCTTGGCTGCCTTTCTCCAGAGGGTGGTGCCGTTCTTGCCCATGGGGACGGCTGGAGCGCGCGGCCACCTGTGTGTGCTGCTCCTGCAGAGTCGCTGCCCACGGGGGTTGGCCTGGACCTCCTTTCGGAAGCTCTTCCTGGCAACACCGAGTGTGGCAAGGGGCTGGGCAACAGCTAGGGAGGGGCTGGCTCCAGGGTGGCTGGGCTGGCCCCTCTCAGGCTCCTGTTGTGGCAGGGTCACTTGTGTGTGTGGTCTGTGTTCTCATTTCTTGAGGAATCACACTGGACTAGACCCGCCTTTGATGTCATCTCACATCACTTATCTTTTTAAAGATAAGTGAGATATCTTCAAAGATAAGTGCACTGTCCCAGGCCCTCCGGTGTGTCAGGGCAGGGTGGCGCTCTTCTTCTCCCTGTCAGCCCAGGGAGCCAGGACAGTGCTGGTGGGGACAGGCCCCTCAGCCTGCGCCTCCCTCAAAGGCCCTTTCTGGGCCCTGCTCTGGGTGGCGGCGGGGGAGTGTCCACTGTGACTCACATTCCGTGACTAGACCCAGCTTCGTGACGGGTGGCTCCATCCACCCTGGTCCCTTGCTGAAGTGGCCCCTGGAAACTAGGGCAGAGAGCACGGTTTCCAACAGTGGGAGATGGAGGTGACAGGAGACTTTGGGAGGCTCCTTTTCTGGGGTCCATCACTGCAGCCTCCATGCCACCCAGTCTGCCGAGCCTCCTTGCCACTGACTGCCAGGCCTACTTCCCTCTCCTCGCGTTCCTGAGCCCCAGCTGCCCCTTTCTGTGCATCCCGCAGGGCAGTGCTGGGAGGGTCATGGCCTGTGGGGGCAGTGATGAAAACCAGGTGCCTCTGCATCGGTGGCTTCTGAGGGATTCCTCTTGCCCGGCGGCAGGTGGGACACAGATGGGGCTGGCCAGGCCTCCGGTGCCCAAAGCGGCCTCCAGGCAGTGTCCCCTGGGCTTCTGTGAGCGGCTGCAGCCTGGGTGTGAATCCTGGAGGCCCCATGGCGCTCTCCGTCTGTGAGGCTGAGACCATGGCGGCTCCTGGCGCTGTCCTCCTGGTGCCCCCTTCCTGGCTCCCCAGCTTCCGGCGCCTCTCCAGGGCCACTGGGGCAGCCCCTGCCCACCCCACAGGCCCTGCTCTCCTCACAAGGCTTTGATCCCAGGCGGCACGATTGGGTTTTCAAAGCATTCACGGCCCTTGTTTGTGTCCCCGGCCCCCGGCTGGAGGCTGAGGTTTCAGCGTTCTTGGGCCTGGCCTTTGAAGCTTCCTCTTATTAATCTTTTAACATCCCTCAGCCCCACCCCAGCCTGTGGCCCTGAGCAGCCTGGAGCCAGGAGGGGGATGCCTTGGGCCTGGCAGCTGCAGCCGTCCACAGTGGTCCCTGCCCCGCCCCACCTTCCTCGGGTGCAGAGTCCGTAGCAGGGGGGACTGTGACACTGCATGAGTTGGGGGCTGTCGGGGCCCCAGCCTGTAGCTGGCTTGGGGCTTGGGGTGGTCCCAGGGAGGGTGCTGGTGGTCCCAGGATGCCCTGGCCTTGCTTACAGTGGTAGGATTGGTGCCAGAGTTGGGACAGGAAGCTGGGCAATGAGGGGCTCATGGGGGCCGGGCAGGTGGAGCCTGCCTGAGGGTGGAGCTGTGGCCATCAGCAGGGCCTGGGCCTGGGGGTGTGGCTGCCTCCACAGCAGGAGGGGTGCTGTGCCCACGGTGCCTGCCCAGCTCCTGAGCCTCCCGCCCTCCCTGCAGGCGAACCTCTTCCCGGCTGCTCTGGTGCACTTTGGAGCCAAGGAACCAGCAGGTGAGTGTCAGTGGTTGGGGCTTCGGAGCCTGACCAGCCCTTCTGGGACCTCAAAGCCAGCTGCCCCAGAGCGCATTCAGTCTGGGGCCTCGTTTGGGTCTGGAAGGGAGGTCTGCGGCTCCCAATACCCACCTCCCCGAGGGAGGGCTGGGACAGCCACCTGCTGGCCACCCTGCTCCCAGAGCCGAGGGCAGGTGGCTGGATGCTGGGCAGGTAAGGGTGGGCCTCTCTGAGGCTGAGGGTGGGCTTGGGCTTCTCTGCAGGCGTCTACCTGGAGCCTGGCCTGCTGGAGCACACCATCTCCCCATCTGCGGCCGACGTGCTGGTGGCCAGGTAAGCGCTGGTGGGTTTGGGAGCTCCTCTCTCTGCGGCACCCACCACCTTGTGTCTTTGCCTCCCCCCAGGTACCTGTCCAGAGCCGCCGGGTCCCCTTCCCCAGTGCCAGCCCCTAACCCTGCATCTGAGTCTGAGCCACCTGCTGAGGAGGGGGCGCTGGGCCCCGCTGAGCCTATCTCAGGGATGGTCCCACCTGTGAAGAGGAGCCTAGGCAAGGTGCCCAAGTGGCTGAAGCTGCCAGGTACTGTAGCCGGGTGGAGGGCGGGGGGCTGGGTGCTTCGACCAGGTGGAGTACGGTGAGGGGGCGCAGGGTGCTGTAGCCGAGTCGGAGATGGGGGGCCTCGTTCTGAATTTGGTTGGGGGACAGGGGGGCTGGGTGCTGCAGCTGGGGGTGGAGGAACGAGAGTTTCAGCCGGGCCAGTGAGCAGGTGGCTGGGCAGCGAGAGCCCAGAGCCTGTGGTCACCCTGGTGTGTTTGCACTACAGCCAGCAAGAGGTGAGAGCTGCCAGCCTGAGGTGCCCACCAGCCACAGGACCACCTCCCCTGCCAGCAGGAATAAAGACTCTGCATCCTTCAGTGCCTCCTGTCGTACCTCTTCCAGCAAGGGCCCCCGTCCTCCACCCTGACTTGGCCGGACTGGAGTGTCCACGGTGTGGGCCCCGGTGGCCACTCGCTGGGCCGAGGTGTGCATCCTGAACCCGAGTGGGTCTCCCAACAGTATTTACCCCTCCTCCCAGGGGAACAGAAGTGTTGGAAAAAGGGCTTTTTGGGCAGACTGCCTACAACCCAGGAGCCAAGCCCGGGCCAGGAGCTGGGGGAGTTAGTAGGCAGGGCCTGGCCTTGGGCCTCCCGCGGTGGCGTGGCTGCAGTGCTGGGTTTTGGCCCTGGCCGCCCAGTAGCAGCGTCCGCAGCAAGCCTAACGACTTCCACGGGCTCCCCAGGGCTTTCAAACCGAGACCTCCTTGGGTGGGGAAGGGGTAGATCCCAGCGGCAGCTCTGCCTGGCCTGGGCCAGTGGGGCTAAATCAACGATGGAGAGGCTCACCCCAAAGCTGTCTTAGGGCACCACGGCAGGAGAGGCTGGGCCGCCTCCAGTGATCCCCAAGAGGCAGCTCTTGTCCTTCCCACCCTGGAACCTGACTCCCTGCGCTCTAACCCTCCCTGCATGGGGCCCCAGGATGGTGCTCAGCTGAGAGCCCCTTGGGTCTTCATAGTTCTGGGCTTTTAACTGGGGAGCTGAAGTGAGGGGGGCTAAGGCACTTGGCAGGGCGCTGGAGGGGAAGTGGCCCAAGGCCCTGCTGCTTCCCAGGCGTTGGCACCGGTGTAGCTCATGCCAGAGACTTCTGAAAATCAGAGGGCAGCCAGACCTGGACGGGGCATCCAGGCAGGTCCCATAGCCCCGTGTTTCCAAAAGTGGGCAGGAGGCATGGCCTGAGGGGGCTGACCCATACCCCCCAGCACTGCTTGGGGCTGGTGTTGGGGAAAGGGAGGCCCTTTCTCTGTTTCAGCAGGGCCTTGGGCCAGGGTCCCTCTCACCCTATGCATCCTGGTCCTGTCTGCAGCCACAAGAATGTTCATGGAAGCCACTGCCCACTAGTGTCAGGCCCTGTGGCTGCCCCAGCCCCTGGCACACATGCTGTCAGCCTGTCCAGTGCTTTGCTTTCGTCTTACCAGGGGTGGAAGGGCGCACACAGGGAGTGTGGCTTTGAAGCAGTCTGACTTCAGTGATTAATGGCAACAAGACGGCCAGGCTGGGAGAGACAGTTTTGATTTATTGATGTTGCTTTGTGAGAACAAATTTATAGCCTGGGGAACCATTTTCCAAGGGGAATACCGGATGGCTGGGAGGGTCACATCAGCTTTGATGTCAGTGGCAGGAATGTGGCCAGGAGGCGGCGCTGCCGGCTGCTGTTTGTAAACAGTCTACCTGCTGGCTGCTGGCTGGGCCTTTCCCAGCACTTGCCTGTAGGACCCCAGGGGACAGGCAGGGACTCCCCATGGGCCTTTCCCCAGTGGGCACTCCAAGGGTGGCAGTGCACTGCAGTCCTGTCCCTCTGCAAAGGCTGGAGAATCTTGGGAGCTTGTTTGAATCAGCTCCAAATCCCTCAGGTCCTTCTTCGTCTGCAACCAGAAGCCACTAGAAACACAAGACCTGCTTCTGTGGACCAGGGGCTTCCCTGGGGTGGCCTCAGCCACAGCTGAGATCCCTAGAAGTCCAGGAGCTGTGGGGAGAGAAGCACTTAGGGGCAGCCCACCAGCCAGGCACCCCCACCTGTGCACCGACCCGTGTTCACCCACCAGCTGCGGGAGCACCTTCTCCAGCTGGTCCACATCCACGAGAATGGCATCTTCTGCCTGGGCCTGCCGCACCCCACGGACTGCTGCTTCTGCAGTGAGAAACTCAAGAAGTGGGGGATGCTGGGAGATCTCAAACCTGGGCCCACCGAGGGCCTCAGCCTGGGCCAGTGTCCCCACCCACATCCACGGGCAGCCCCCAGAACCAGGCTCTAGCACCTGACCAACAGGATCAGGAGACCAAGTTCAGGCCCTTGTGGGGAACGGGAAAACGTGTCTTGGTTTTCCCGTGGGAAAAACAAAGGAATCCTCAACACTGTGCCTGGGAGGGAGCCTGGGCCCTGGGCTCACCCACAACGAAGATCTTCAGTAGCTCCGCCATGAGCTGCAGTGCGTCCCCACTAACTGCAAGACGGGAGGAGGTTATCTGGGACCTTTGCCCACTGCCCTGGCTGGGTGCTCCAGATGCACCCCACCCTCCCCAAGGCCTTGGCCCTGTAGAGTTGTGGGAAAGGTACAGGACAGGTACAGGAACCCCCTCCCACCTGCACCCCACCCTCCCCAAGGCCTTGGCCCTGTAGAGTTGTGGGAAAGGTACAGGACAGGTACAGGAACCCCCTCCCACCTGCACCCCACCCTCCCCAAGGCCTTGGCCCTGTAGAGTTGTGGGAAAGGTACAGGACAGGTACAGGAACCCCCTCCCACCTGCACCCCACCCTCCCCAAGGCCTTGGCCCTGTAGAGTTGTGGGAAAGGTACAGGACAGGTACAGGAACCCCCTCCCACCTGCACCCCACCCTCCCCAAGGCCTTGGCCCTGTAGAGTTGTGGGAAAGGTACAGGACAGGTACAGGAACCCCCTCCCACCTGCACCCCACCCTCCCCAAGGCCTTGGCCCTGTAGAGTTGTGGGAAAGGTACAGGACAGGTACAGGAACCCCCTCCCACCTGCACCCCACCCTCCCCAAGGCCTTGGCCCTGTAGAGTTGTGGGAAAGGTACAGGACAGGTACAGGAACCCCCTCCCACCTGCACCCCACCCTCCCCAAGGCCTTGGCCCTGTAGAGTTGTGGGAAAGGTACAGGACAGGTACAGGAACCCCCTCCCACCTGCACCCCACCCGCACCTTTGGTCTTGTCATCCTTAAAGTGCACGTGCAGCAGCCTGCTCACCAGCTCCTGGAGGAGAGGGGGGTGTCATTGCCAGGCCCTGCCCTCCCCCACACCCCTAGGGTGGTGATCACTCTGGGTGACAGTGGCTGTGATTTCCAGCTGGAGATGCCCTCTGTGCTTGGGTCTCTCCCAGGGCAGGGGACAAGCGCCTGCCCAGTGCTTAGGGTGGCAGAAGCTGGAAGAGCAGGGTCTGTGGTCAGCTCCACAGGTGTCAGGGCCCCTTGCAGGGTCTGTCAGGGAGCTGCCCTGCAGAGTGAGTGGTCGCAGATGTGGGAGCAGGCCCAGCCTGCTGGGGCTCCAGGGGAGAGAGGAGAGGCCTTGTCGAGTCTGGCATAATCTTGCACTCCCGTCCCCAGCCAAGGGCCATGGATCTCCTTTCCTTTTGAGGAGGCAGGGAAGGCAGAGCCCGCCTGGGTCTGGAGGCTGGAGGCGGCTGTTCCCTGGGTGGGCTGGCCTGAGGGAGTCACACCAGTAAGGCCTTGCTTGGCCAACTCTGTTCAGTGTGCTGGGTCCGCTCCACCGGTCTCGCCCTGGTGCTTATCGTCCTGCAGGAGGTGCTGGTGTCTGGGAGCACAGAGCCAGGCTGCACCAGCGAGGTCCGCAGGTTAGAGTGGAGGGAGGGGTGGGCTAGATGCTGAGGGCCTGAGGGCCCGACCAGCTCTCTGGCAGGAAACTGGGAGTCCTTTCTGGGTTTTTTGTGGAAAGCAGTACTGACATTTGAAAGGACCCTTCTGGCCACCATGCCCAGGGGATGGGGGGCAGGGAGGAGGCTGCAGAGCTGGGGCCTTTCCGCCTTCCTGAAGCATGCAGGACAGGTACAGGGCAGGAGTCCATGCCAAGACCCCAAAAGGACAGCACTGTTCTGTGGAGCTGGGGGGCGTGGGCATGTGTACTCGGGAGCTCGGTTTGGGATGTGTTGTCATAAACACAAGAGGTGTCCATAGAGCGGAGGCGGCAGCAGCAGCAGTGGCTGAGACTTGGAGGGCAGCCCCGGGTGGCTGGTGGAGCCACGAGACTCAGCGAGGTGGCCCAGGGCAGGCACCAGCCCTCAGGGGCTAGGAAAGGAGCCAGCATGGAGTGCCCAGGGCTGGGGGCAGGGGCAGTGGGCACCCAGGAGCCCAGAAACAGGCACTACAAGGGAAGGTGGGTGAAGGACCGGCCAGGCTGCCAGCAGCGGGAAGCAGGGAGCTCACAGCACCTCACCCAGAGCAGTCCAACAGGTGACAAGCAGAGCAGCGGGTGGGTGAAACCCTGAGGCACGGGAGGTGAATGTGCCACAGCAGCGGGTAGCAGGGCCCAGCATCCCGGTTCGTCCTGAGCCCTCACTGTCCCCCAGCCAGGGTCCGGGTCACCACCCGCGTAAGCTCAGTGCCACCTGCTGGTCCTTCTGGCTGCCTGCCGCCAGCTCTACCTGTAAGGTACCAGAAAAGGCAGAGAAGGCACTACTTCCCCACCTGCTCTGAGACCTCCAACACCATTGCCCCAGAAGGCCTGGGAAGGAAGACCACGCCAGTGAGTGGCAGCTGCCGGGGCTGCCTGGATAATCCAAGGGGTCGCTCCATACACAGGCAGTGGCTTCGGGAGACAGGCCCAGCAGTGCGGGTGGGGGTGGGGGCCTGTGGGTGCCACGCCAGGGCTGCAGGCCCCCTGCTCCCCATCATCCTCAGGCTCTTCGTCTGTAATGACCACAACTCCAGATCTGGCCAGAGGCCTTGGGGCCCTAGTTGTCAGGTGGGCTTGACGGAGAGAACATATGACCTCCCCCGGGGTGTGCCCAGTGCCCTCTCTCCAGCTGTGGCCTTTTGGCTACCCTAACCTGGTGGATTCTCACAACCAAGCGGTGAGGTGGCCCAAGCCTCTGTCACTTTCTCTTTCTGAATTCTGTCTGGCAAGAATCTTCAGCAGCTTCACCCCTAGAGTCCCTCCGCTCCCCCTCAACCCTGCACGGAGCCCCTGGTGTCCTTGGGTGATAAAGAAGAGGCTGACACAGAAAGAATTCCCCCTCCCTCTCTACAGGGTTGAAGTCCTCCCCTGAGGATGGGTCCACAAGGGCCTGAGACCCTCCCCTTTCCAGGCCGCAGAGGTCCACGAGGCCCTGATGACATCGAGGAAGCTCAGTGCCTCAACCTTCAGGTACAGTAATGAAGGACTCAGAAACCACTCTGCCTGCACAGAGGGGGTCCTCTGCACATGACACCCCCAGGGAGCCCCACTCACCAGGGGTAGGGAAGAGCGGGGCACCCTTCCAGCCTTGGCGGATCCTGGCTCAGACGGCCTGGGTCTGACCCTAGCCCTGCTGAATCACTTAACGACCCGAGCCTCGGTTTCCCCACTGGCGGGCGGGGTTAATAGGTGTCCAGTGTGTGTAACGTGGAGCACCGAGGACACCACGCGTTCCTGGGACTTAGCCCAGTGCTGGCACCCACCGGGGAGCGGGCAAAAGGGGAGCTACTGTTCCTGGCGGCTGGCCAGGTCCTGCCGCCTCGGGCTGGACGGTCTCACTGTTGCCGTGCTGGGGTCTGACCTCCTCTTCACAGGAGAAATCAGGCTCAGGGCGCAGGGCGGCGGCCCAGCTCCTCCTCTCTTTTTGCCGGCCTGGACTCCGCCGGGACGGCGCCTACCCCCGCCTATTTCTGCAGACGTTCTCCACCTTCCTGCAGCCCCGGCTGCCCCACGCGCCCTTCTAACTGCTGCGGGACCCCCGCCCAGGAGAGCGCGGGGCGCGCTGGCGGGGCGGGGTAGGGGTCTGAGAACGGGCCCAACCTCAAAGGTACAGGTGGGCGGCGCGGGGGCTGGCTTCGGGCCCTCACAGTGTCACACGTGGGGTCGGGATGCAGCGTCCACGCCGGCCCAGCCCCTGCCCGCCGGCCCTCACCTTCCGGAAACCAGCTCCTGCTCCGGCTCCCTCCATGGCAGCCACCTCTGCGCGCGCCCCCCGGAGCCCCGCCCCGCGCCCCCAGCCAATGAGACCCGAGCGCGCCCCCAGAGCGCCTTCTCCCGGAGCCCCGCCCCTACCTTCAGCCAATGAGCCCGAAGCGCGCCCTCCCGCAGCCCCACCCTCACGCCTCTCAGCCAATCAACCAGGAGCGCGCCCTACCGGGGCACCACCCTCACGTCCCTCAGCCAATTATCCTGGAGCATGCCCCCCGGAGCCCCACCCTCATGACCCTAGCCAATGAAACTGGAGCGCGCTACTCCCCTTCAGCTTGCTACCCCAAGAGCGCGCCAGTTCCTTTGTTCTAATTGGCCCCCAACTAGCGCCGCCAGCGCAGGGCCTGCTGGGAGTTGTAGTTCCCGGGGCCGCTCCCGGCGCGCCTGGTTCTTCCTGGATACTGAGGTCCCGAAGCGGCTGTCGCGAGGACTTGGGCGGGGGCTGCGGGCGCGCAGGGCCTGGAGGGGGCGCGCGACGAGCCTGCCTCCTTCCTGCACGGGTGGTCCCCACGCACCGCGGGGCTCCAGCCCAAAGCGGACCTTGACTGCCGCCCAGCCCCGCGCTCCCAGGACCTCCCGCCCGCAGAGCCCACTCTGATTGCTCTTCGTCCGGGTCAGCGGAGGCCCAGTCTCCTGTACCCGGCGCCGGGGCTGCTCCGCACCAGGCGGCTCCCTTTCAGCAGCTGCGGGAGCATGCGGAGGAGGTCCTGCCGACCCCGCGGGTCATGGAGGAGTTCCGGCGCTCCTACAGCCGCTTGTGCAAGGAGAGCGGGGCCGAGCCCCAGGAGGCTGTCCTGCAGCAGCTGCACCAGCTTCCCAGGGGCCGGCTGGACCTGGCCACGCAGAGCCTGACGGTGGACACCTGCAGGGCCCTGGGCAAGCTGCTGCCGAGGGAGACGCTGTGTACGGAGCTGGTCCTGAGCGACTGCATGCTCAGCGAGGAAGGTGGGCAGGCCCGGCAGGGTAGGACGCTGCTCCTTAGCTGCCCACGCCGTTGCCTTGGCAGCCCCAGAGGCCGCCTTCTCTCCGGGCTCTCCTCTTTCTGTACCGTCGTTAAAGCGAGCAGGGGCGCCTGTTCCTGCACCTGGGAGTGGAGGGCAGTTCCTCTTTTTGATCGGGGAAGAGGCCTTAACCTGCCGCGACTTACCTGGTTGCCTGCGTGCTGACGCGGCTTTGTGCTGCAGGGGCTGCAGGTGTTTCAAACACGGCTTCGCAGCGAGACTCTTGGCCAGCGCCAACCCAGACCACCGGGACAGTTGTCCTTCCCTGGGTCTAGGGAGCTGCCCTGAAAAGGGGCCCACAGGGAGGGTCTTGGGGTCAGCAGGGGCAGGGAGTAATCGCGACCCCCTTACACAGGGGCCACACTGCTGCTCCGAGGCCTGTGTGCCAACACCGTGCTGCGCTTTCTGGACCTAAAGGTGAGATACCTGCACTCTGGGTGTCCGAGTGCGCCACCCGAGGGCAAGAGGAGAGTGGGAAGATGCCAGGTCTCGGGGGCCTGGGGTCTGGGCAAGTGGCTGGAAACTGTAAGTGCCCCAGGCCGTTCTCCGCCGGCCTCCTATTTGAGTGACTGTCTCTGGAGCAAGAGTTCACGTCGGCAACAAGCAAGCCGGCCCCAGGAAGCCCCCTGAAGGAGGGGAGGCCACACCTCCGCCCAGGGGGCACCCCAGCCTTGTCCACTGGCTGACTGGGGCCCTTAGGGCATGAGCGGAAATTCGGAACCAGTCAGGGCGAGGGCAGCGACTACCAGCCTGTTTCTGTCCTAGGGTAACAACCTTCGAGCCACCGGGGCTGAGGCTCTGGGAAAACTTCTCCAACAGAACAAGTCCATTCAGAGGTGGGTGGTGGTCCTGACCCCACCGTCACCCCAGGCCCCCTCTCTGTGTGGTTGTGGATTGGCCCCAGAGCACATCGTTCTGCTGCCCAAGAGGCAGGCAGAGGCTCCAGCCCATCATCAGACCCCCTCCAGCCCCAGCCGACACCGTCCCCAGGCCCTGGACCCCATGGGCTAGGCAGTCCCCTGGGCGAACACTGGCTCCTGTCCTTCCTGCAGCCTCACGCTGGAATGGAACAACCTGGGCACGTGGGATGATGCCTTCGCCACCTTCTGCGGGGGCCTGGCGGCCAATGGCACGCTGCAGCAGCTGGACCTCCGCAACAACCAGATCAGTCACAAGGGCGCCGAGGAGCTGGCCCTGGCCCTGAAGGGCAATGCCACTCTCCAGCAGCTGGGTGAGGCCTCCAGGGTGCCTCGGGGTCCCTCATCCCTCCGAGACTGCCTGTGCTCTTGGAAGTGAGGGGCTAGGGGACCAGCCAGGCCAGCTCCCCCTCCACCAGGTGCATTCCATCTGGTGACTACAGGTTTCCTTCCAGACCTGCGCTGGAATAACATTGGTCTCCTGGGGGGCCGGGCCCTCATGAACTGTCTCCCCAGCAACAGAACCCTGTGGAGGCTGGACCTGGCTGGGAACAACATCCCCGGAGATGTCCTCAGAGCTGTGGGTACGCTGCAGGGCTGTGTGGAATGACACATGAGCCTCTGAGAGAGGCCTGTCCACCGAGGGCGGGGTGCTGGGCCTGGGACCAGATGATGAGAGCAGCCCGAGAGCCTGAGGAATCGGAAGGAGCAGAGGGTCTCGGTGCACTTGATTGGCGCTCGCCACACATGGGCACTGTCCAAGACTCCCCGTGTGCTCATGAGTTCTTATGACCTGTGCAGTGGGGGTGCCCATTTCATAGCTGCAGAAGCTGAGGCCCTGTGGCTCACAGCCCTGGCCTTGGTGGCAGTGCTGATGCTTCAGGTGGCCCAGGCCTTGGCAAGGGAGGGGCTTCTTGGCATTTGCTCTGTGGTCAACCTGAGTTGTGGCCCTGCATGTGGGTCCTGTGGGGCGGGGCCGCCTGGTCTGTGTGGCCTCCACATTCCCACCCACCAGCAGCCCCAAGTCCTTGCGGCTGATGTCTCAGTGTCAGGCCACATACTCCCTCATCCACACACAGTGGCAGCCTCTTGGCCCCTGTGCCAAGGGCTCACCCTCCTGCTGGCCCTGCCTGGCCTCTGGCTCCAGCCGCGCCGTCCCTGGCGTTGCCCGAGTGCTGGCCTGACTGTTGTCATTGCTCCTGACCTCTGCCGCCTCCCCACACGCCATGGTCTTTCCAGAATGTGAGCTGGGCACAGTGTTCGCCTCAGCATTGCGCTGTGCCCCTTGATCTTTGGGATGGTGGCCAGACGCCCCAGGATGGCCCTCGCCTTTTGTGATGGCCGTACCACCTCTGCCCCACGTGTTCACGTGCCCCCCAGCACCGGGCGCCTCCTGCTCAGGACCCTACCCCATGAAGCTCATCCACCCCAATGCACTGAGGGGGTGCCCGGCATAGCATAGATTTCCAAGCAGCCAGCCACTGGGTGCAAACCAGCCACCTCTGAGGCTGAGCAGCCGTGGGTGATACAGCCTGTGTGTGTGTGTGCGTGTGTCTTCGCGTGTGCGCATGCCTCAGCCTCCTGAATAGCAGAGATTACAGGTGTGTGCCACCACGCCCAGCTAATTTTTTGTATTTTTAGTAGACATGGGGTTTCACCACGTTGGCCAGGGTGGTCTCAAACGCCTGACCTCAGGTGATCCAACCTCAGCCTCCCAGAGTGCTGGGATTACATGTGTGGGCCACTGTGTCTGGCTGACACAGCTCCTTCTGACAGAGCAAGCCATGGGCCACAACCAGGACCGGCTCACCACCTTCCAGGAGAACCATGCCCGCACTCACGTGCTCAGCAGGGAGGTCCAGCGCCTCCGGGAGGAGAAGTCCAAGCAGGTGAGGATGGCGCCTTCGCTGGCCTTGGAGCTGCTCATGGCTGGGGGTCCTGCCTCCCCCGGCTCCACGGTATGCCCGCCTTCCCTTCCTCGGGGCTCTGGAGCCTCCCTGAGTGGCTGGTACCTGGAAGGAGGGGCAGCCATCTGGTCTGACTCCCTGCAGGTGGGCTTCCTTGGGGAGCTGGCATCTGAGCCCCAAGGCCTTGCTCTGTAGCAACCACCCTCCCTGTGAAGGAGATGGGGCACTGTGGGTGGAACCCTTCGCTGCCTTGCTGGGCTCCTGCTCTCCTTCCCCTGAGAAGGTTGGGTGGACAGGCTGCAGGTGCCCTGACAGGCTGCGGCTGTCTCTGTCCCCAGTTTTTGGACTTGATGGAGACCATCGATAAACAGCGGGAAGAGATGGCTAAGAGCAGCAGGTGAGTGAGCCCAGGGCCACAGGGGCAGGGTGAGGCTTCAGGGCTCAGGTCCTGGCCCAAGACTCAGCTGGGACCCAACCCGAGCCCACGAGTGAGGCCACCAGGAGGCAGCTGGAGGCTCAGTGCCCGGACGACCATAGATGCTTAAGGAACAGCAGCCCCCAAGGCCGGGGGAACGGCGGTGCTCTGGGGCTGGGGTTACTCTGCACCCCCCTCTCTGCCCACAGAGCGTCAGCAGCCCGCATAGGGCAGCTTCAGGAAGCCCTGAACGAGAGGCACTCCATCATCAATGCTCTCAAGGCCAAGTAAGGATGGGGGGTGGCTTCAGGATACTTCAGAGATGTGCCACAGGGCAGAAGAGGGTGATGTGAGCCTGTGTGCAAGTCCTGTGTACAGAGCAGAGGTGGGAAATGGGGTGAGACTGGGGCAGTAACCTGGAAGCCTTCCTGGAGGAGGCAGGTGCTGGCTGGCATTTAGGTTCCCGGCAACAGTGAGAACAGTGAGGCCTTTGTAAGGCAGGTGAAGTCCAGCTGGGATGGGGTGCTGCCCTTCCTCTCTGCAGGCTGCAGATGACAGAGGCTGCCCTGGCTCTGTCGGAGCAGAAGGCCCAGGATCTGGGGGAGCTCCTGGCCACAGCGGAGCAGGAGCAGCTGAGCCTGTCGCAGAGGCAGGCCAAGGAGCGCAGGCTGGAGCAGCAGGTGGGTGGGCAGGGCTTGAGAGGGGTGGGCTGGGAGGTGCGTGGCGGCCGAGGGACCCTCACTGTGCACACCCCCCCCCACCCCCAGGAAGCTGCAGAGCGGGAGTCTAAGCTCCTCAGA